AAATCGGGTCTAAATGTTAAATAGATCGGTGAGTGTAAACGTTATGATAGTCATTATTGAAGTGGGTAATAGGGGGGGGGGGTCAAAACAAGTCAAAACGTTCATATGACCCATGGTCCAAAAGTGAATAGATTTTTGTCTAAATGGCTTTATAACGATCACAAACACCCCAACCTTACTAATTTTTATCATCTAATCTAAAACGTTTTTAAATTGGGTAATTAACAAAAAAATGGCATTAAGTTTTTCTAAGTTAAGCCAAAATCTGTAGTCAGTAAGTAAGTTTAATTAAATCAAATATTTAAAACACACATGACAACAGCGCGTCGGTCATTCATCACTCTTATCGAACCGGCAATCGATCGCAAACGGTAACAGTGGTTAGTTATTGTTCACGTGGATATCAACACTCGGGAATTAGGCCGCCGCATAGGACTATCGCATACCATAGACCATAGAATCCTACGGGAAAATTTGCTTTATCTCTACCATGTACAACGAGTGCAGGTCTTGTTACCAAAATACTATCCTCGCAGACTAACATTCTGTCAGTGGTTTCTGCACAAAAACATTGAAAATCCGGATTTTTTTAACAACATTCTAGCGACGGACGAATGTACTTTTACGCGAGACGGGATATTAAATTTCCATAACCCTCATACCATTCGTGAAGGTCATTTTCAACAACGTTTTAAAATAAATGTTTGGGCGGGTATCCTTGACAATCAGGTAATTAATTGGCCCTTTCGAGTTATCCCAAAGTTGTCAGGAGAAGAATTCCTCAGCTTTCTAGCCAATAATCCACCAGAACTTTTGGAACAGACCTTAGAAAACATGCTATCACAACGGAGACAGAATTTGTGGTTTCTTCATGACGGGGCACCACCACACAATTTTAGAAGCGTCATTCAGGATCTGAATGAACATTATCCAAATCGCTGGATCGGTCGAAAGGCTCCTGATCCTCAAAAATGGCCAGCAGGATCTCCTGACCTCAATCCGATGGATTTCTGGTATTTGGGAGAACTTAAAGGGATCGTTTATGGGGCTGTTCCAATAACAACTGAAGCACAACTTCGCGAAAAAACATTTAATGCGGCTGAAATAATAAATGGACAACTTCGAGGACCTAAAGTAAGTTCGTCGTAATGAAGCTTGTGTGGAAAATGGAGGACATTTTGAACATTTTCTTGAAATATAAAGAAAGTGCAGTGTGGGTTTTAAAAAGAAAAACAATCTATGTATCAAAATTGTGTTCTCTATTTATAAGTGGCTTTTCTTTATACGTTCAGTAAACTTTCACACCCCAGGTGAAGCGCTGAGACAGTTAGTGGCAAGTCCGTTTTTTTAATTGTTTGCATTTTACGGGTACATTATCAATGAAATAATACCTAAGGGCCAAAAACAACAAACTCCATCTTTATTTACACTGCGTTCCGTCGTAATTTTTGTCTGGCATTGCGGCGTTGTCAGATTTTGTTTTACTTTAAAGTCGCTTTTCTCTAAAAAAATGCCGTATTCACCCCCATGTTATATGAAACTTTTTGCTTCTTTTAACCGCCTCTATCACCCATTTAAATAATGACTATCATAAAGTGTACACTCTGTAGAATGAAAAATATGTTTCGTATGGTGCAAGTGGATGATAGATATTCACTCCATGAATAAATGTCCAATCAAAAACAAATTTGAACACAAAATTATTTGACTACAAGCGATTGTCAATCAATCCGTTCAAAAACGATTATCTATCTGGCGTCACCCTATTTATCTCTCACTAAGTAATTACAGCACGCGTTTAAGCGACATCAGCTGTTTTGTGGTCGCCACGCTTTTGGATAATCTCTTAACTCTCTCGAATTTGTTCGCCTTGTAGGTAACTTCTCTTGATATAACTACTATTTGGTCTAACAGTGTATTTTTACAACATTACGTCAACACTGAGGTTAAGCTGTGCTGTATGTGGTGAGATGAAAATAAAAATGAAAAGCTCCCATTCTGGCGCTCGGGCGCGATGGCGGTGGTTCATTTTCCACCTGACTACCTGTCATGATTTAATCGCTAATGGATTTTTTCTGCATTGGCGCGCTTTCTGGCGCTCTCTAATTAATTGATTATTGAATAATTAAGAGCTTAATTTACCCTTTCGAGTCGCGTTTACCCACCGTCCAACGTTCTAATAAACATTCTAGGTGATTAATTATTATGCCCACCAGAAAATCCACACGGATGCCACCCCACGACAGGTTGTGGACGCAGTAAGAATATCGAAAAAACGTGGAGCAAGTAGAATCAGACTTTGCATTTTAGGAATGCCTGATTTCAAATTTTTTAGCTTAATCAAAATTTGTTTTGATTACGAAACTGATCAAGAAGTTGAAAAGTGAGTAGGCCTAAAAAGTTGGAAAACAACGTTTGGGACTTTCTTTATTTTTCCGTTTTTCGCTCATATTTCTCCGGTACTGGACCGATTTTCGAAACGTACTAAGCATGTTCGCCTTTGTTACAGTAGAATTAATGCACAGTCAGACCGCCGATAAGAAGTAGCATGTTTTTTGCAAGCTTCCAGTTAACTCGACTTGTTAGTACTCATATGTGTATGTTTTTCGGCAAATAAGCATTTTATTTCTCAACATAATCTCCTTTTAGCTCGATACATTTAGTCCAGCGTTTTTCCAATTTCTTAATTCCTTCCGAAGAGTAGTTTTTATCAATGCTCCCAAAATATGCGTCAAACTCAAATGAAATGACATAGCTTGCTCAAATTTTGACAGTTGTCATATAAAAGATGGCAGTTGACGGCAGCAGTGTTGCATTCAAAGTTACTGCGCGGGAAATTCACTGACTTATCGAACGGCCCTCGTATTAAATGAAGATTTATCGTTCTCATAGTAACCACTATGATGTGAGTATATAACGAAAATGAACAACTTCTAAATTTAATATGGCTGCTGCCACAAACAAATCACCATGTGTAATCTCCATTGGGAATGATGAAACACAATAAACCAAGAGGCGTCATTATAAATCCCATATGGCGACAGCCGGAAAATCGCGATTCATAATTTCCATAGTTACCTCTATGATATGGGTATTAAATAAAAGGCCTTGATAAGAGAAACACAATAAGCAAAGTAAGTTATTCTCAGTTGCGGCCTTCGCAAAATGAGCACTTATACGTATAAACGTTATATGAGTATCGAATGAAGAGGCGTGCGAAGCACAATTACTAAAGAGTCCTCTTAAATTCAGTATGGTGGAGATCTTTATATGATAAAACAATATTATTATGACATGGAGATAATCTGATTATGGTGGCGGAAGGTCGATATGGGAACTCTGTGATAAGTTGACACAAAACCCATCGAAACGGGGTATGTGTGATTCTTCTTGATAAGTAATCTGGTCATAGGGTCTGTCGATCAAGTTAACCATTATGTAAAGTAAATACTCAGCCATAATAGTCATATCAAGTTTCAGATTTTTAATATTTGTTCTCTAAAATATTTCTATAATCAAGTGAAGCAGGATACTTATAATAAGTACGTCACCTGTATCTACATAATGTACTTATTTATTTATTTATTTATTTAAATTAACATACCCTAGACGTATACAGTATATGCATGGTGCATATCAGTTGAAGCCACAATTCCAAACTGTATATATTACACATATATCATAAAAACAATAATTATAATATAGACAACAAGATGATAAAAACATTAAAATACACATGAAATCCATCGGACATGAAGAAGAACGCGCTCATAAATCACATATACTGTAGGTTGTAATCTGTATAAAAATATTCCTTCATAGTATTCACTACTGTTCTTCAACATTTGTTATGCAGTTCTGTTAAAACTGATAATAGGCTTTTAATTTTCATCAGGCAATTTATACATTAATGACCGTTAATTTTTCGTTATGGACAGTCAATGCACTGATTCCTAATTTTGTAGATATTGCTATTAACTGTTTTGAAAGAAGTTTTGTTGGTCTTAACATATGTCAGTAGTTAGAAAATATACACGGATACTAGTGTAAAAATACCAAGGTATTTAAATAATTGCCTGTAGTTAGTTCCCCAATGCATCTGTTCGCTCTTTTTTGTAGAACCAAAATTCTCTGGCATTCTTTAGAGCAACCCCATACACCGTCACGTATTTGGTATATACAGGCTGCGCCATATTTTGTGTCGGTATGTAAACACGAAAAACTGATTTCTATATGTCGGGTATCTTTTATTAAATATGGTCCATTTATTGAGACTAGTTTTTGAGCACAACATCTATCAGGTGGCAGCCTTTATTGGCCAAAACAAAAAGGGTCCATTTTGCTGCGTTTTCCATTACCATTACAGCATCTCTGGTGGTATAGCGGCGATTGCGGTACGAATGTTTGCCTTGAGTTCTTCCGTGGACTGGGTCTTTCTGGCGTACACTTGACTTTTCAAATAACCCCACAAGAAGAAGTCCAGTGGGGTCAAATCTGGAGACCTGGGTGGCCAGTCAATGTGACCTCTTTTTGACATCAGACTTTTCGGGAATTTTTGTTGCAGAAACTGGATTGTCTCATTTGCTGTGTGGCATGGCGCACCGTCTTGTCGAAACCAGTAACCATCAAGACCTTTTTCACGCATTTGTGGGCAGACATAATGAGCCAACATCCACCGATATCGATTTCTATCGACTGTTTCGTTTTCGTTGAAGAAAAATGGTCCAATGATGGGTTTGGCGCAAACGCCGGCCCGAACAGTCACTTTCCGGTCATGCAACGGCATTTCGTGGATCTCGTGTGGATTTTCCGTCCCACAAATGCGGCAGTTTTGCCTATTAACGCCGCCAGAGGGCGTGAAATGGGCCTCGTCGGTCATCACAATTTGCTTCCAAAAATCAGGTTCAGCATCAACCATGCCAGCGACTGTTTGGGCGTATTCCAAGCGACGTGGACGGTGAGTTGGCAATACTTTTTGTGTTAACTGCACCTTATAAGGAAACAAATTCAAATCATCCTCCAAAATGCACCGCTATGTGGTTCCAGTGATGCCAAAATGCTAAGCGCGGTGACGATACGACACTTTTGGGTTCTGGGCAACGCTGTCTCTGACCGCTTCAAACAATTCATTAGAACGCCTTGGTCATTGTTGAACGGTATCTTGACGATCTCCCACTGTCCCGTACTCAAGAAAATTCCAAACCAAACTACGGGTAGTGTTGTCAGACGGTGCCTGTTTGCCACGATATTTTCGACGATATGCACGTTGCGTTAACACAATTGAACGACGATTTTCAATGTACATTGTGACTATTTCGGCCCGTTGTTTTGGTGTATAGTGATTCATGACTAAAATTGTAGTAAATTGACGTTTCAGAATCACGTATAATCAAATCACTCGGTTGGTAAATATCTAAGTCATCCGATGTTTCAATACCGACATACAAGATGGCGCACTGGGTACAGTAACACATGTGGGATATTTTTCTGCGTACTTAGAGTTTTCGGGTCTATGAATCCCTAAAAATTCATTTGACTGCATCTACTTCACGAATGTGTATCTAGCTTCAATTAGTATTATAGTAATGTATTTGCGAGAGAGATAAAACCAAATTACGGTTTTTGGTTGGTTTACAACCGAACTACTTTTTCAAACCACAAAATTGCATTATCGGACTTCGTATAAGACTTTTCAACCATTGAATTATGACACAGCTTTGATCGCTCACATGTATTATATATAGGAGTAATCCTAATATGGACCCTTGTAGGACTCCCACTGCACATTTCAATCTTGGTGAAGCCTGATTCTCTACTTCAGAGAAATGCTGTTGGTTTTTCATATAGTCCTCTAAATAATTTACAGTCTCTCCAGGAGTATTTGTTGGTACCCTTCATACGGCCTCATACGGCATTCAATACCGCTAAACAAATAATCTCTGCAGAGATGGACAGAAAGATCCAATAATAATGGAAGGGATTAGAAGGGTTAACCCATGCTAAGGCAACTATACCAATCCCGACAAAGAAGGTGACAGACTCTCTGCTACGGCTGAACAGGAATAGCCTCAAAGCTCTAGTAGGGCTGTACACTGGTCATTGCAAATTGCGCCACCACATGAGCAGGCTGGGCATGGCGGAAGACGCTGAGTGCAGACTGGAGGGAGATGAAATGTATTGTGACTGCAATTGCCAGAATCAGGTACAACATACATGGAGACGTAGTACTCCAAGCAAAAGACCTCAACGATATTTTTCCAAACAAGCTGATCGACTTCGTCAGGAGGTCGGAGCTACTGGGGGAAATATAAATAGACCAGAGAGTCGCAGTAGAGGATCGTTATTGATGCACTCACCAGAAACATAACCTAACCTAATATACATGGTGTCCCGAAAAAAGTGTGCAATATTCTACCAGCGTTTTGTAGAGCTTAAAATATGAAGAAGAGTTTATATAAACATAGGGCGACAAACGTCCCCTAAGGGCGCTACGGTCTTTTAAAAGGGCTCCCCTGAAGATGGTTTTTCCTTAATATTTCCGAAACGTGTTGAGATAAAGACATAAAATTTGGCATTCTAGCCTAGTTTTTTATGCTGGATTTAAAAATATTAACAATTTTAGACAGTTTTGTTTGGAAGCGTATGAATTTTCTACATAAAAAAGGTACTCTTATTGAATATCGATAAACTGTGCCATTTTTGAATAAAATCAAACTAAAAAAATTGTCACATGATAGGATATGTACTGCGAATTTAAATGAATTGTTGAATAATTAGCCATGGCAACGAAAAAACTAATTTAATAATTGGTGAATATTACATAAATACATATTTCTATTGCAACATAACTAACATATAGGCAAAAACAAAAGAAATAATTTTTTTCTACGAACGAAAATGAAATTAGGATAAATTCTCATTTTGTTGGATACAGAATCTCGCTCGACGAGCTAATGATTGCGTAGCCCGAAAAGTGGAAAACCTTTTTCCTCTTATTTCATTTGCAGTCTGATGGATTCTTTGATGTAAATCTTCAGTCGAGTAAACTAGGTCTTTTAATGACCCACAAAAATAGAAATCCAATGGATTTAGGTCAGGTGAACGTGGCGGCCACGCTACAGGACCACCTGTTGGAAAATAGACATTCAACCAACTTCGAACATTGCGTCCAAAATGTGCAGGGGCGCCATCATGTTGAAAAAACATATTCTCTTGAAACTGCTGGCGCACCTCCAATGGTATTATATCCATGAACTCATTCTGAAGAAAGTTCAGATACACCTCTGAATTAAGACGATTGGGAAGTACAGTAGGCCTAATTACTTGATCCCCAATTATTCCTGCCCATAAGTTCAATGAAAATCTATGTTGGAAATTTGTACGGCGAAGAACTTTTGGATTTTCATCTGACCAGTGTTGCATGTTATGGAAATTAAAAGCACCATTCCTAGTAAATGATAAGGATGTAATCCTTGCATTCTTATCATTCTTCCTATCTAAAATTATTATTTTTATGATAACTATCAAATAGGTATTCATAAATTTTTCTTACTGTTGATCGAGGTATATCCATAATTTCTGAAACGTTTCGTATGCTTATTTGCGGATTATTTTCAAACATATTTAAAGCAATATCCATACGATGATTTCCCAGTGGCCTTCCTGAGCGCTGCATGCGCTGAAAACTTCCATGGTTTGACAAATTCCGGTGAATATCAGTAAACATTCGACGTTCAGGTACTATGGGATTGGGAAATCTTCTTTGATATTCTCTTACGGCTGCCAATGAACTGCCATTGCAAAACTCGTACACAAAATGCATGTCAGTCAGTTCTCTGTCTGTAAATCCTGGCATTTTAAATCGATTTAATAAAAATTTTGATTTTAATCTAGTAATTTTACACTGCTAATAATGTCAGCTTAACGTCAACATAAGTCATAAAAAATCAAAACAACTTTTGTTTGCAGTCATGGCTAACTCTGTATAATCAATTCATTTAAATTCGCAGTACATTTCCTATCATGTGACAAATTTTTTAGTTTAATTTTATTTAAAAATGGCACAATTTATCGATATTCAATAAGAGTACCTTTTTTATGTAGAAAACCCTAAATTTTCAAATTCTAAAATTGAATTTCAAAAATAGAATCACACAAAAATGTTGGGGCTAAAATAACCTGAGTCCGTCCCTGTTACATACGCTTCCAAACAAAACTGTCTAAAATTGTTAATATTTTGAAATCCAGCATAAAAAACTAGGCTAGAATACCAAAGTTTATGTCTGTATCTCAAGACGTTTCGGAAATATTAAGAAATATTAAGGAAAAACGATCTTCAGGGGAGCCCCTTTAAAAGACCGCAGAGCTCTTAGGAGACGTTTGTCGATCTGTTTATATAAACTTTTCTTCATATTTTAAGCTCTAGCAGCCGCTGGTAGAATATTGCACACTTTTTTCGGGACACCCTGTAGAATGCTACTGAACTTTAATAATATTCTCACTGCTTTCTCATCTAGAGCTTTATCCATCGACCCATGCAACGAAGACTATTGTAATTCATTTTTGATTGAACTGAGATACATCAGAAGATTTTCTGATGAATCTCGTAGCTAGAAAAATGATGATCCAGTCTAAAATATCTCGGACATTCTAGTAGCCATCATACATGAAGGCTTATAATTGGTATCACAATACAAACTCGCATAAAAAGACGTTTTTTTGATAGACTTTGTTGACTTACTATAGTTTTCGATGGATCAATTAAGGAAAAAAATACACTTACTATAAACTCATTAGGATATTTATTGAAATATTACGGTATTTCTCAAACAAATTATCGAATAAAAAATGTTCAAGGCTAATTCGAATCACTTAAATAGTCGTCTTCGTGTTCTTCACTATCATCATTCTCAACTTCTGTATATTCAGCACTATTAATGTTCTGTCCTTTTTGTATTTTCTTATCTTCCTTGCCTTTAAGAGGGAAATAAAAAGCGTGGTATGCCTGAGGAATGGTCGGAAGACCATTTGCTTTTGGTTTACATAGGTCTAATAAGCCATTCAGTTTTCTAGCATCTACTGGAAGCAAGCTTGTGTACAGTAAAGGTATAGTAGTTCCTGAAGCGTATTATCTTTCGTTCTCATTCTTCGATGATTTTTCTTCAATTTTATTATTTTGACGTCATGAGTCTTTGTTCCAATTTTCCAATTTTACCTTTTGTTTAAGACTCACAAAGTCATTCTGGGACATCTCTTTCACAATATATGGTCTTCCGGTTACTTTCGCCATGCGAATCAACATGATCCATGGATCGGGCGAATACATTGCCGGTTGTCGCTTTTTGGCATTTTCAATGACAGCGGGGATACTGTCGCCTTCGTTTTGTGTGTGATCTGTTTCTAGGAATCGATGAATGATCTGCAGATTAAGAGTCATAGAAGCATAAGAAAACATCGAGTTTTTTTTTAATCAATCCTTTATTAGCAATCAGAAATTAACAATTCTATAAGCTAATCTGCTGTCCATAGTACTGTTCACAGCACTAGTTGTGGCATGATGAAGTCCCATCCAGTGATGAGACCTCTTCAAACATCAAGTAGGTCTGCTGGCCAATATCTCTTAAGTCGTCTGCGGTTAAGGGGTTCTAATAGAGGTTGTAATCATGTATTACTGTGATTTTCCAGTTTTCTGAGGTGTTTCTTGCTCCTCTCTCGAATCACACTTTCACCAATGGAACATTGAGATCTCTGTGTATTGTGTCATTGGTCTCATACCAAGGGGCATCAGTTAGCATACGGAGTACTTTCGATTGACTCCTCTAGATTATCTGAATATTAGATTTACTTGCGCAGCCCCATAGTTCTGCTCCATATGCCCATATTGGTTGATGATGGTGTTATATACCCGAAGCTTATTTGACAGAGATAATTTGGATCTTCTCCCAAGCAGCCAGGATAATTATTTCACACGCAAGTCTATTTGTTTTCTTTTTTTAATGATAAGTTTGTTTCCAACTCAGTTTGCTATCCTTATGGAGACCAAGATATTTTGCTGAAATGGACTGGGGAACAGCTGTGTTATTAATATATACTGGTGAACAGTTCCCTTTCCGTAGTGTGAAGGTTACTTGCTGTGACTTGTTTTCATCAATTTTTATCTGCGGTAAACAAGGTGTACAACATTGGTCCTAAAACGCTGCCCTGGGGAATTCCTGATTTGATAGGATGGAAATTCGATGTTTGTTCATTTTCTCTAGTTCGGAATTTACGTTGACTTAGAAACGACTTCAATATTTTGAAATATTTTATGGGTAGTACAGTTTTTATTTTAAACAGCAGACCATCATGCTTACATCCAAAAATACTGA